ATTTGAGTTTTTCTTAGAAAGTTCAAGGAATTTTTAAGGGTAGGGGGGTTTTGACTTTACTTTTTCCTGATTAATTCTCTTATTTTTTAACCAAAAGATGGTTCCACAACAGGAATTACTCTTATAAACTTGATTGAATATAGTGTATTTTATCGAAATGTGCAAGTAATAGTCTTGATTGAATATAGTGTATTTAACATGCTTGCAAGAGTATCATGTCTCATTCTAGGCTTGCAATCACCCACATTTTCAGCAACTGCAAATGAAAGTGATAATCTAAAGATATTATTAACAGTAATGCATAAGTCAGCGATTAATATGGTTCAATAGATAAAGTTTTAACGTCGTTGTCTTTAATATATTGTATTTGTAATCCTATTCAATCTACCTTACACAAGCTATTGAACGCATATTACTTCTGCAGTTGTTCAACTCTTGACATATATACGCACATATTTTGCTCACTAACTGTTTTATTTCTACAAGTTAGAGAAGTGGACAAATATCAAATGTTTTTTAACGCTTGCCAAAATAAGCTTTGGCTGGTGATTATATGTTGCGACAATGATATAGTTTTTTTGTTCAAAACTCATTTTCAACCACATATTCTTTCATAAAATGATTTTACACATAATTGAAAACCTGTCCTTTTTTAAAAACACATTATCCAAAAAATCACTATTCCAAATTGTATTTTCTTATCAATGGGGTTCAAACAAGAGCTCGATATTAAAAATTTCTTGAAGTCCTTTTTGTGTGGGCATGGAAAACCTTGACCTCAACAATAACAATGTGAGCTACAAAACTAGCTACTCCTCTCACTGCTTTAATTTGAACTTGATTTCTCAACTCCAAATGGTAACATTACTGACCAATCTTGATGTGCCTCGAGAATAGTCACATTACATTACTCTATTAAACTACTACATCCACAAAAACTTGCTATAGAAGAAAGTATGGATGTGTCAATAGAGACACAACGAATCCTTTGAGATCAAATGCACATAGGACTTAATAGTTACTATTTCAATGTCCTCTGTTTTAATTATCGACCCTTACTTTTCGAATTGATACGTCATTCTTTCCATTCAAGTCCACAATCGTTTCATGGTCATTACACTTGCACAAACATTAGCCTCTACATATGGACCTTAAGCTTCATGAACAACATTTACTCGTCAATGGGGAGAGAAAAACTGTCTTCAAAATGTGCTAACAAAATGTAGAATAAGTCTGCAATGGAGTGCTACAATATTTTTTTTTTTTTTTTTTTCCATTTAGTGCTACTTATGTCCATCTCTCTTTTCTCCGAATATTAAGTAATATTAATATAAAAAATTATAAATTTTCCTAAAACAATGAAAATAGAAGGAAAAAAATACCACGATGTTAGTCAACAAATTCAATAGAAAGTTTATGAAGTGATACAATGGACTAACCTTTGTTATTTTGTATGTCACACAACACATTATCGCGTTTCCATAAAAAATCGTATGTTTCAAAAATTACCTAAATTTCAAGATAAAATCAAACTCCCTAACTTTCATAGATAGAACCATAAATCATTTTCGACGAATGTGAATTTTTTTATGGATACATAAGAGTATCTTACTTTATAACGACAAATGGAACTTTATCTCCGTTTTCTAATTAAACGACAATTTTTGAAACTATTATAAACTTGAGTGACTAAATAATGATTTGAGTAAGATAAACTACTTTCATGTCCATTTTGAAATTACTTATTACCTTTGCAATTACCTACAGAACAATGCAATTTCACTAAAATCCCACAAGAGAAACCTCGTAACGGCTAGTCCGCCACTCGCCAGAATCATCACTGTCTCTCCCCTAAGTGCCGTAAAAAATGGCTTGTTTATTAAGAACTGTATCTGGTTCACTTGTTCTGTCGTTCCTTTTTGAGTTTTATCAGAAGCTAGAGACCATTTGGTGGGCATGCATGGAAAATCCTTCTTCAGAATCTGATTCTCTCAATCACTGGATTCAAAAATCTGTTCCGCAGAATCTGGCTGTTGCACCCACAGGCAGTGCAAGATTGATGAAAAGCAGTTTTTTTGTTGGCATTTTGGGCTCTAGCAATCTTCATTGTGATATGAGGATTTGAAATGGTCAATTAGATATAAAGACAGAAATACAGTTTATGCTGCTTCGTGAAATTGAGATTACATATTATGAAAATAACGAGTGTAATTTTCATTAAAGAAGCCGATCTAGAAGATAGAATAAAATTCCATGTGTATCTGAAACTGAATCACCGGCATATGGGAAACCAACAGAAGAAGCTTTACAGCGAATATAGCAGCTCAAGTTGAAGTTAATGTAGAAACATCGCATTCTCTACGTCAACTGTGTAACATAAACTTGTAGGTTAGCAGAACATAAATGATGCAAAAGCTCTTCTACAAAATTGAAGGCGTCTCACAGTCTTCACTTCAGTCCCTCGCTTAACCCTTGTGGCATTCCTAAGCTTTGGGCAAGATTGCTCATTCTTTCCTTCATAGCCTATTCAATTCACAGATGCTAAATACAGAATTCAAGGAAGAAGTAACGTTGTGTTGAACATAAAACAGGGAAGAATCTTACCAGAACACTCTTCTGGTGTGCGTCCTGGTATGCCTCAGTTACCAGAAGAGAGAGTTTCTGTATCAGTAAACATGCGAAATTCTGATCATTTGAGAAAGCAACGCAGTAGCAGATTTTCTTGCTCTAACGCAGTGATTTCTAGTAATTGCAATAGAATCTTATCAATTTGGAAGAGGTCTATGGGGGTTTTGTGGGGGCTTCTAAGGATGGATAAACTCAGCGTCCTTGTGTTCAATTTAGAAAATGAGGTTCTAGAATTTTTGGTTGTTACTTCCATTCTCATTTTTGTGGAATGTAGTACGTCCGAATTCATAGCTTTGAAAAGTTTTTATGTTCTCTCCTGTAAATCTGGAGGTAAGGTTATGTCCGACCCTTTTCTAATGTCTTCTCTCATTCAATCATGATAGTTTTTGTGTTGTTGTATTGATGAGATAGGATGATTGAGGATGTTTTGTATGGAATAATTTTGGAGGTAAAAAATAGTTGGCTTTTTATTGAAAGTTAATAGTTTGGAAGATTTTGGTAGAAAGTAATTTGGTGGACAAAGTGGATAGGAGAAAGGAATTTTATTAGAATGATGATAGCTTACAATAGCTTGAGCTTTGTCTAGCTTCCTTTTTCTTACTACCAAATGAGGGATCATGCCCTATTTATATACTCTTATCATATCTTCTAGAGAATTCTACAAGTGTCTACAACCTATACAAGGTTTTTTGGTGTCCAAGTTACTCTAGTGGAATCTAGACAATTCTAATTTTTTATTATACTTGCTTACCAAGGAATTCTAGGATATTTTAGGCAAGAAAGGAATTTTATTAGAATGATGATAGCTTACAATAGCTTGAACTTTGTCTAGCTTCTTTTTTCTTGATCATCTTCTCATCATTCCTTGTGTAGATGAGATCGCCAACATATAAAGAGATTATAAGTGTACTATTTGTACCTTGGTTTTTGATGTATAGAGTTGGTTCACTTTGGCTCCTCCTGAATCCTTGCTTAGTGAAGTAGTTGTCAAATATGCTGTACCAGGCTCGCGGAGCTTGCTTTAATCCATATAGTGCCTTCTTTAGTTTGAAAACTTTATATTCTTTACCTCGAACCACGTATCCTTGAGGTTGCTCCACATAAATTTCTTCTTCAAGATAGTCATTAAGAAATGCCGATTTGATGTCCAGCTGGTAAATCTTCCACCTTTTCTGTGCGGCTAGTGCAATTAGCGCCCTTATAGTATCGAGATGTGCAACAGGGGCAAATGTCTCAGTGTAATCGATGCCAAACTGCTGTGAGTATCCTTTGGCAACTAGTCTTGCTTTATGTTTTTGAATTGAGCCATCAGCATTGAGTTTTGTCTTGTAGACCCACTTAACTCCTATGACTTCTTTATCTTGAAGAGGATCTACAAGCTCCCAAGTATTGTTTTTCTCGATCATTTTTATTTCTCCATCCATAGCATTTCTCCATTCTGGTTGTTTTGAAGCCGCTTCATAGCTTTCAAGTTCTATGATCATCAAGTTGCATCTTTCATATATTTCTGATAATCTTCATGTCTTTCTTGGCGATAATTCTGGTGAATCAACTGGTTCTTCTATAACTGTATGCTGCGGAGACTCTGGTTGATTATTCTCCTCAACATCACTCTCCTGCTTTTGTGGTTGTGTAAGGGTGCTGACATCTTTTTTCTCAATTTGACCAGTCTCCCAGTTGTAGGTGGCATCTTCATCAAACTTTACGTCTCGACTTATAATTAGCTTCTTTGTTCTTAGGTTATAAACTCGATAGTCTTTTGATTGAGTACTATAATCTAAGAAGATTCATTTTTCAGTCTTTTCATCCAGCTTACCTCTTTTCTCCTGAGGTATATGTGTGTAGCAGATGCAGCCGAAAACTCTGAGATGTTTTGCCGATGGTTTTCGTTCGCCCCATGCTTCAACTGGTGTTTTGTCTTGCACTGCCTTTGTCGGACATTGATTTAGTAGATAGACTGCAGTGCTTACTGCTTCTGCCCAAAATATTTTTGGAAGACCTTTCTCCATCAGCATAGCTCTAACTGTCTCCATTACTGTTCTGTTCTTTCTTTCTAACACGCCATTTTGTTCCGACTCGTACCCAACAGTAAGTTGATGCTCCATTCCTTCATCTTCACAAAACTTGTTGAATTTATTTGATGTATATTCCCTGCCTTTGTCGCTTCTGATAGTTTTGATTTTGCAACCACTTTGCTTTTCGACATAGCCTTTGAACTTTTTTCACGAGCTTCTAATGATCCCATTAATTCTGCAGCTGTTAATTCATCTATATCCTTGGATTCCTCAATAGCTGCAATAATTGGATCATATTTTTCTGTGCAAGTAATTAAAATTTTTCCAACGACCTTCTTTTCCGGACCATCATCACCATAAGATCTTAGTTGATTTACTATTTCATCTATTCTTGAATAATAATCTTTTGCAGTTTCCGACTCTTTCATTTTTAGATTTTCAGAATTCCTTCTTAAAGTTTGAAGGCGGCAATTACGTACCTTGTTACTGCAGTAGAACTCCTCCTTCAACTTATCCCATGCTTCTTTCGCTGTTTTGGCTCCCATAATTCTTGGAAAATATGTATCTGTCAAGCTCATTTGTAGAGAAAGTAATGTTAGAGAATCTTTTTGTTGATTCTCCTTAAGTTCCTTCTTTTGTGCGGAAGTTAAAGTGAAAATGTCATCTGGGTTAGTATACCCATCGTTGACGACATCCCATAAATTTTGAGCACAAAAGTAGGTCTTCATTTTGATAGACCAAAAATCATAGTTATCCTCATTAAATGTTGGGATAGGAATTGATGAGCGGAAAGCGTCTGCCATCATATATGCGTACGCCCAATATCAATCGAACGTGGCTCTGAAGAAAAGGAGACAAAAAGAAATCTATTTTATGCCTCCAAGAAGAATGTCTCTGAAAAGAAATTAGATACGTGGTATCTAGATAGTGGCTGCAGTAATCACATGACGAAGGATGAAAGTATTTTCTGCAATCTCGATAAAATAAATACAAAAATAAAAATTGGCAATGGAAATTTTTTAAAGGCTACAGGTAAAGGTACTATTGCCGTTGATACAAAAAAGGGCAAGAGATACATTAATGAAGTTCTCTTAGTCCCTACAATAGATCAAAATCTACTAAGTGTAGGTCAGATGATGGAGAAAGGATACAATATACATTTGGAAGGAGATTATTGTATAATTTATGATAAGAAAGATAAACATCTGGTAATTGCAAACGTAAAAAAGCGGGAGAACAGATGTTTTCCAATCCAATGGAGATACGCAGACAATGCGGCAATGGCGGTGCAAGTAGACGAGTCATGGTTGTGGCATAAAAGATTTGGACATTACCACTTCCATGGGTTAAAGATTTTGAAGCAAAAGAGCATGATGAGAGACTTACCAGTCATAAAAGAAATTGATGCAATTTGCGAAGGATGCTTGAGCGGGAAACATCACTGTCAACCATTTCCATCTGGAAAAGCATGGAGAGCCAAAAAGCCTTTGGAGTTGATACATACGGATGTATGTGGCCCGATGCGTACTCCATCACATAACCAAAACAAGTACTTCATTCTATTCATAGATGACTATACTAGAATGACATGGGTATATTTCTTGCAAGAAAAATCCTAAGTATTTGAGATTTTCAAAAAGTTCAAAAGCTATGTCGAAAAGCAAAGTGGTTGCAAAATCAAAACTATCAGAAGCGACAGAGGCAGGGAATATACATCAAATAAATTCAACAAGTTTTGTGAAGATGAAGGAATGGAGCATCAACTTACTGTTGGGTACGTGCCGGAACAAAATGGCGTGTCAGAAAGAAAGAACAGAACAGTAATGGAGACAGCTAGAGCTATGCTGATGGAGAAAGGTCTTCCAAAAACATTTTGGGCAGAAACAGTAAGCAATGCAGTCTATCTACTAAATCGATGTCCGACAAAGGCAGTGCAAGACAAAACACCAGTTGAAGCATGGGGCAGACGAAAACCATCAGCAAAACATCTCAGAGTTTTCGGCTGCATCTGCTACACACATATACCTCAGGAAAAAGAGGTAAGCTGGATGAAAAGACTGAAAAAGGAATCTTCTTAGATTATAGTACTCAATCAAAAGGCTATCGAGTATATAACCTAGGAACAAAGAAGCTAATTATAAGTCGAGACGTAAAGTTTGATGAAGATGCCACCTACACCTAGGAAACTGGTCAAATTGAGAAAAAAGATGGCAGCACTCTTACACAACCACAAAAGCAGGAGAGTGATGTTGAGGAGAACAATCAACCAGAGTCTCCGCAGCATGCAGTTATAGAAGAACCAATTGACTCACCAGAATCATCGTCAAGAAAGACACGAAGATTATCAGAAATATATGAAAGATGCAACTTGATGATCATAGAACCTGAAAGCTATGAAGCAACTTCAAAACAACCAGAATAGAGAAATGCTATGGATGAAGAAATAAAAATGATCGAGAAAAACAATACTTGGGAGCTTGTAGATCCTCTTCAAGATAAAGAAGTCATAGGAGTTAAGTGGGTCTACAAGACAAAACTCAATGCTGATGGCTCAATTCAAAAACATAAAGCAAGACTAGTTGCCAAAGGATACTCACAGCAGTTTAGCATCGATTACACTGAGACATTTGCCCCTGTTGCATGTCTCGATACTATAAGAGCGTTAATTGCACTAGCCGCACAGAAAAGGTGGAAGATTTACCAGCTGGACGTCAAATCGGCATTTCTTAATGGCTATCTTGAAGAAGAAATTTATGTGGAGCAACTTCAAGGGTACGTGGTTCGAGGTAAAGAATATAAAGTTTTCAAACTAAAGAAGGCACTATATGGATTAAAGCAAGCTCCGCGAGCCTGGTACAGCAGAATTGACAACTACTTCACTAAGCAAGGATTCAGGAGGAGCCAAAGTGAACCAACTCTATACATCAAAAACCAAGGTACAAATAGTACACTTATAATCTCTTTATATGTTGATGATCTCATCTACACAGGGAATGATGAGAAGATGATCAAGAAATTCAAGGAAGATATGATGAAAACGTTCGAGATGACTGATCTGGGATTAATGCACTATTTTCTTGGGATCGAGGTAACTCAATCTAAAGATGGGATATTTATAGCTCAGAAGAAGTATACCACCAATCTATTAAAAAAGTTCAAGATGGAAGGTTGCAAAACAGTAGCAACACCTCTGGATGGCAACAAATCACTCAGAAAAGAAGACGGTACTCCAAAAGCAGATAGCTCACAATTTCGAAGCTTAATTGGAAGTTTACTCTATCTAATTGCTACAGGGCCAGACATAATGTATGCAGCCAGCCTACTTTCAAGATTTATGCAAAATCCAAGTCAAGTTCACTATGGAGCTACAAAGCGGATACTAAGATACCTCCAAGGAACGAAAGACTATGGAATAAGGTATGAGTCTACGTCTAACTCAAGACTACTTGGGTATATTGATAGCAATTGGGCAAGATCAATAGAAAATATGAAGAGCACATCAGGCTATGCATTCACACTAGATTCGGGAATATTTTCTTGGGCATCAAAGAAACAAGCAACGATTGCACAATCATTAGCTGAAGCAGAGTATATTGCAGCAGCAATGACTACGAATCAAGCAATATTGTTAAAACGCATACTTGAAGATACGGGAGAGCCACAAATCAACAGTTAGGGATCTGTCAACCTCCCACCTAATCGTATGTGATTAAACTGAAATTACAAACAAATTTCTTGTTAAGTGATGGGTAAAAGGTCCGGGAACATTACTATTCTTAATGTTAAAACATTTGCCGACCGAATTTGTTTGCCACGAAAAGTTTCATGTAACGGGCATATAGTGGCACCCTTATACTATGCAGCCAAAAAATAAGAAAAAATTTAAAAAAAGAAAAGAAAAAATCTCTTCATGGTATTATCATAACAATTCTAAGAATCCTAGTGATTCAAAATTCTAAATGCCGTTGTGATCAATAACAAAAGACACATTGCTGTGAAAGCCATCCAAAAGAGAGTTTCCACAATCAGACAGGCGTTGAAATTGGACGTAATTTAATAGCAAGACATAAAAGAATACACCTCAGATTTAATCAACTTACTTCAGGTCCCAGTTCCATGGCAGCCTCAGTTATCTCAATTCGTACAGGTTGTTGGTTCCCAGAAAGTGTTGCCTAGAGAAGTATAACAATCAACTAAAATTAGTCTGTAAATGTTTGAATCAGAAACTGCAGGATCTCAAGAGAACAACATTTTTCCGTAGTACATAGTTAATGAAATAAAAGGATGCAAGGCCGTGTATCTGAAAAAGAAAACTAAGCCCTTGTTTGAGCCCCATTTTGAAGAGAGAATGTATTTTTGAATAGTGAAGTTTTGGAAAACGTGTGGTTAAAAAGTAAGAAAAAGTTTTCGATTTAAGTATAGAATTATTTTATTGGCGAATGTGTAGTTAAGAATAAGTTTAAAAAAAAAAATGAATTTTTGAAAAAATGGGGATCAAACAAGGGCTAAGCTTATGAAAATATTAAAAAATCAATTTCTACAAAGATCACTAAATAAATTGGTCTACTTGTGTCATCTTCAAGAAGTATACAGGAGAACACTTGTCATACTTCTGTTTCGAAAATTTACTTGCCGTTGATAGGAAAATCATAGAAATATATTTCAACTTAAGGAAGAAAATCAAAATTAATGTTGATAATTTACCTTTACTAGTTCACCTTCGCAGTAACCATCAAACTCCGCTCTGCAAATTAAAAAAAAAAAAAAAAATAGAAAAACACAATTAGCATGTGAATAATATATATCTTCAAAAATCTACACAACAAAACACAATAAAGATGAGGAAGAGTAAATGTGGTAGACCATACACAGCAAGTTCTTTTTGCACACGTACTGCCTCCACTTGGACAACCATTTGTGCCTTCTTTACAGTCTCAACCAGGTTTTGCATGTTTCCCATTATCCCAGCCTATTTTCATCAGGTATAATGTTATAATTAGAGCAGCAACAGGAAGTCAAGTTTGACAGATATAAAAATAGCTTGGGAATGCAAAAAGTAGAAACCATTATCCTTAATTGATTGGATTATTTAATCAAGATTATTGAAAAACTATTCGATAGTATGTTCTTTTTATAATGTAAGCTCCATTAATAAAACCCACAAAAAGGTAAAAAGAGAGAACCCCGTGTACATTGTGTATAAACAATTGTACAATACGAATACACCATGCTATTTGTTAATATCCAAAAAATTTATATCATCAGCACAAGTAGGGGAAAGACCAGAACCAGAGAAAGGAAAGGAAAAGAAAAGTGAAAGTGCTATTCAGCTTTCCCACTGGGTCCAATTAGCAGCCATGGGTAATAGTTTAAAACCCCCCACCCTCCCAACCCAAACCCAGCAACCCAAAAAGTAAAAAGGGAAAATGCAGAGTGAGCTTGCGTGTGCATGCGTCACCCTATATATCCCTATATCTTATGTTAGTCCCACCACAATTTCAGCAGCTCCTGTTGAAAAGAATGGAGCCTACCATACAGCTTTACCACAATAAAAGCACAACCAATATACAAAATCATGCTTCATTACTTGCACTGTTATAGCCATACTATGTTAAACTTACAAGCAAAATATCTAAAACTTCAGTATTTTTGAAATATGACTTCAAGAATGTCAAAGAAAGAAGCTAACTAGCATTATAACTGAAAAGTGTTCAATGTATTGAATATATTGACAACTCATACTACCAAGAAAAAAATATAATAGGACGTCCAAGCAAAAATGACTTCAAAACTAAGAATGAAGGCAGAGAGTCAGTTATCAAAATACATTTTCATCTAAGTTATTAATTTTATTTTCAGGAGTGTCTAAGACATGCCTTTGAAGAACCATCATCACTCTTATCATTGTTATCCTTTTTACCACCAAATAGACCATGCACATGAAGAGATCTTCTAGCCTTCCCAGTTTGACTTCCTGGCCATGACAAACTCGGAATAGCGATGGGATTGATGCTCTGATTCAATTTACCTAAAACACAAGAAAAGAAAGTGATGAATGTTCACCTCAGAAAACACAATATAAGTACTGATAAGTTCATTATACAACTTAAAATACAAAAGATCTCGAACTATACCGATGATTTTATAAGACATGAAACTGCAGGAAAAAAGTTTCAACACAAAGAAACCAAGTAAATATGAATAAGAATGATGTAGTATCTTGAGCCAGTCAAGTAAACACCCTAGTTAGTAAAGAAGTGTTTTGATCTCCTCAAGGAAATACTTAGCTAATAAAGAAGAGTTCAGAGCTCCTCAAGTAAATGCCTCTTACAACAGACAAAGGAAATCCATTTGAACATCCCAGAGTTTTAGCAGTACATTTTAGATAGACATGCTAGCCCTGGCTGTCATTTCCTATCTTGTATCAAAGCTGTGCTTCAGCAGTTTCCTTTCTTCCACACAAATTTATATGCTGACATATATGTTTTGAGGCCTTATTGTCAGCAGATCAATTTAACCCTAGTCATACTAGGTTGTATGCAACATTTCATCAGCCACTTTGAAGATCTTCTTCCAAAAGAAGTCCCACTGAAATCATGATCAATATAGAGATCACGACTTTTACACCTATTCCTCACGTCATAGAACCTTTGTCACCCAATAATAATACTTAAGACTGAACCACAAAAGACACAAGTATGCAACAATGTAAACTAAAAAACTTCTAATCATCTGTATTGATTTCCACAGAACCAAACTTTAATGATAAGACAGACTTCCAAGCAACCAAGTTAGGCCTGGAGAAAAAGAACCTTTGGAGATAGGGTGAGAGGGGAATCCAGAGGATGCCCAGGGTATTAAGACAGAGTTGTACTTGTATATTTGCAATCATCAAGCATAATACATAAATAAGTTGTATTTATATAGGAATGGTCATGGACTCTCGATGTAAGTAAGACAATGGGGACATCTTAATTAATAGATTCATTGGCACCGCACTGCAGATGATACATGGCAATACAACAACCCAGGATTACACAATGCAGTTAAGGAACTAAAGTTATGGAGAAGATGCCATGGTGCTCTATAAGGGCAGCTATACAGTGAGGTAGAATGTATTCTATCAGAAAATTCATGTCAGCCACAATCCAGAAACCTAAATGGCTAAATCAGCTCACTCATGCTAGGCATGCTTCTATACCTAAGTTTCCAGGACTGCCAAATACTCGTCACCCTGTTCATGCTCTCAAAAACAAAATTTGTGACTTTTGAAATGTAGACGCAATCAGGGCATTATACTAAGTTAAGAACGTAGGATGCTGTAAAGGGAATCCACAAGATGTTGGTTGGTCTTCTCCTTTGAATCATAAAGACCAAATGGTGGTTGCGTTTTTGTGGATTTTATAGAAAGAGGAATAACCTTCTGGTAGAACTTCATGCTTTATTGAGGGCATGAACTAGGATAACACTTCTTGCTAGCGAATATTTGGTTGACCTGGACTCAATAAATGTCATCTAGTGAGTCCAAGACATTTCTATCAGCTCATGGGGGTCATCAGACAGTCATAGATGAGATTATTGTTTTGTCTTCAAAAATGCAGGTTCACTGAAGCTGCTTTCTTGCCAATAAGTGTCTTACAAAATGTGCAAGAATTCATGGGTCATCCAGCAAATCACTGGATTAAACAGGTTTTCTTGTCCCTAAGATTGTAGTAGTGTATGGGACAGGGAATTCATGGGTCATCCAGCAAATCACTGGATTAAACAGGTTTTCTTGTCCCTAAGATTGTAGTAGTGTATGGGACAGGCATCATTCTAAAGAAGTTAATACCTTCTACACATTTCTAGTATATAATGTGGTATCCTTTCTCCCTTATGTACCTCTGGAGATCAGGTATCTACCCCTCCCGTCAGGCAATCTTCTGTTTTATAATAAAAATGTAGGGCACCATGCCAAAGCCACCACCTAAACACACTGGTCTCATTAAAAATAGACCTAGCAAGTATCAATTAGAAGAAGTGACTTCTTATGAGAAAGCTGAGGGAGGATATTGTTTATCCCCATTCAGTGTGAGATCAAGGTTGAGTGGCCAGTTGTCATGGAACAAATCAGGCGGTATTACCACACAGTGTAGTTACATCCTTGGTTAATATGTTCTCTTTTGCAACATTTAAGTTTTTAATAAAAATTTTACGGCTTTTCTGATTGTCAAATATCTCTGTTCAACGTGAATTTATTACATGGCCTACTCTAACATAGTTCTTACCTCTTCAACATGAAAGATATATTTACATATTTTATCCCATGTATAAACCTTATTTTTCATAAAATGTTTAAAAACATTACCTGAAAAATGCAAATATAAATATTTAAATCGTAATTTCGCTGACTTTCTAGATCCATGTGATCCTGTCATGCTCTTTTTCATTGCATTAAGTTTTATTTATTTATTTTATTGCATTAATTTAAGCAAATATGAATCCAGTCTTCTTCTAGTATTCAAGCAAAGAGCACAAAAGGGGGGGAAAAAAAGCACACAATTTTGAACTGATAGTCCTCAAGCACTAAAATAAGAACAAAAAATAGCAAAATAAAAATCCTTTCGGTATTTAGGGCGATCTTTTTCGTTCTGAACAATTATAAACCGTTTCCAGAAATACAATTACGAAGATTCACAAGGAAAAATCATCTGACGATACAAATTCACAGCCCTACAATCATTTCTAAATAGATTGAAATGCAATTCCCATTTCATCCATTAACACGAACAAAACAGTTCATCCAAAGCCATATCAGTAAATAATTAAGTAAAGAAGACAGAGCCCAGAAAAGGGAAAGAGGGAGAACTTACAGGAAGATAATGGATAAGATGAGGAAGAAAAATTGGGATTTTTACTGTCAATGTAATGGTGAAATTGAGGCGTTAGAGCTGCAATCGGAGACGCTGCCATATGTTGATATTGTGAACTGGTTATGCTACCAAAGATTATGGAGGATCTTTCACAAAAACGCACGCACAGGAAGAGATTTCAGAGTATGGGAGGAGGATAATATTGGGGTCTGGAGTGGGAAGTCGTCTCTTCGTTCCAAAAATAAAATATCTTGTTTATAAATGAGTAAATTTCACTAGCGGTCACTGAACTTTTCCTTTACTTGTAATCAGCCCATTAATCTTTAAGTTAGAGCAATTACATCATTATACTTTAATTTACTAGCAATTAGTTCACGTCTTTAGTCTTCTGTTCAACAACTTAACAGAACTGGTGAGTGGCTGTTAAAAGTAACGGAATCTCCATCCGTTTTATCAAGACAACAAAGTAAGTTTATTTGCGGTCACTGAACAATTTCTTAGTTTTAGAAAATTAGACAACTTCAAAGTTTAGTGGTCAAAATGGAGTGAAGGATGAGTTTTGCTACATAATTAAAAGTTTTTGAACGAATTATATTAAAAATTATTAATAATATATTTGTTATACTTCAAAGGTTTATAGTGAAAAATACAAATTTTTCCTGAAAATATGTTCCAATTTCTATCTACTAAAGATGGGAGAAGAATTTTGTAAATATGATACGGGATTGGATCGATGTGTTGTGTTGATGATGGATGATTTATGAATAATTAAATCTTAATCTAATAGTCATCTAATCAGTTTAAAACGTTCTTAAGTAGGGCCCTATATTTTAACAAGGCCCCAGATTCCAAAAAACTTCATACTACTAAGACATCGTTTGGTAGGGATTTTTTGCCCAAAAAAATTGATTTTTTTATCGTTATTTTACTATTCAAGCCGTAATTTTTGACTTCTTCTTTCACATGTGGACCCCACTTTTCTTCTAACGGTCAAAAAATCAATTCTCAAAATCCCTACCAAACGGGCCCTAAATTTCTTTTGGGAGAAAAAAAAAAGGTTGTCATAAAATAAATTAAATTAAAAATGATCTATAACGCTAGACAGAAATTAATATTTGTGTACTATTTAGATGAAATTATCGATGATAATATTGTTCTTGATGTTGTTAGTGATTGCTGACGGTGATTCAATTACCGATGACCATTGCTATTTATTTTTTTCTTTTCCAATTATCTCTTTACTTGAGAGATAAAATAGGTAAAATCTTGTTATTTCAGTTTCTAAGAATACACTACCTGTTCACTGTTTTTAAGCCATGGCCCGTTTGCTTTTACTAATATCCTCTTGCTTGGTTTTAGTCTTTAAGCCCCTCTTTCTTCCCTTGGCAACTAAACTTCAATGCGTTGCTTTTCTACCTCTATACTTGTGAATCATATTATACACATCAATATATTGTGTCCTTCCATTGATAGTATAGAGACAATGGAGATATAAGCGCCTCCAAAACTTGCATCCTCCTAATGTTGGTCGGAATACTCTGTGTTACAGAAGCTCGCTCCAAAATTTTCGAAAACGGTGATTTTCGAGCTCAGTTTTAAGCTATTTTTCCTATCAAACAACAAATTCAAACGACTCCAACCCACAATCAAATATATTTATCTCGATTGCTTCTCACATTGGCCCACAAAGAACAAGATAACGATAATGATTTGCAAGCCACAAAGGCACAAGAAAAACAATTAAAGAGGGACAAAAGGAAGCCAAAAACACCAAGGGAAGTAGGGTTGGCAACGGTTCGGCCAAAACCATAATCGCACCACCAAATTTTTGACCATACCATAACCGCACCATAACCACGTAAATCGGTTCGGTTCGGTTCGGTTTTTATCTCAGTTCGGCACGGTTCGGTTCGATTAATAACCACGAAAATAAATTATTTTTTATAGGTTCATCCGTCAAATTGATATAAAACAATTTATGAAAAAAGTCAATGAAAATAAAAACACAATATTCCAAACGAAAATGCAAACATTATCAAACAATATTCCAAACGTAAATATAAACATTATCCTGATTTTCAATTGTAAAATACAAATTTAACAAACAATATTATAAATATAATAATACTAAACTTTTCCTTCATTCTTAATTGTTGTGCATTGAAGTTACATGATGCATTCATCCCTACAAGTCTTACTAGTATAGATCAGCATTCAAAGTTGATTCATATTCATCATTGCCAATATTGGCACGTCTAGAAAAACATCGAACTTTGTTTTTACATGATCGGTAGTAATAGAATGACTAACAAATGTAACAAATTTTCGAAGGCGACGCCGATTTGGACCGTAGAGGCAATGGAGCCGTGCGTGAGTTTGTGGTTGTGGAGAGTAGGGTTTGCATTTATATACTGTCATACTAATGCTATTATGGGCTAATGGTAAGTAGACTAGCCGAATGAGTCAGGTAGATGTAATGAGGAGGGGAGGGATTTTGTTTTGATTTGGATAGAAAAGTAGTGTAAAGTCCATTATCAATTCATTTTTTTTTTTAGCGGGTAATCGGTTCGGTTTCGGTTCGACGACGTAAATACCATACCCGCACCATTACGAACCGGTTCATTAAAATCAAAACCATATCTGCCCCATTGCACCATCGGTTCGATTTTTTTCCCCCCATTCAGTTCGGTTAACCGCGGTTTTCGATTTTGACGGTTCAAATTGCCATCTCTAAAGGGAAGCCACTGGTTTTTCTCTCACAAAGGCAGGCGGATTTTCAGCAAGAAGAGGCGGCCACGTTTTCTTCTTTCTAATGCACAAATCACACATGGACGGTTAGAGTAAAAATGCAACACATATATAGGCATACGGCCAAAATTCAAAATCGTCCAATATGTAAATATATATGAGCTATGAATAACATTATTTTCTTAAACTACTTCCAACCGTCCACGTTGTTTTCAGGTCGAGCCTTTGGACTTGGTCATTGGTAACAATTTCACTCATCGTCCAATGCCTATGAAATTCATCAGACGTTTATATCATAGCTCGAAATTCTTTGGATATCAAAACTCAACACTCTTTTTCAAAATAAACAAGTGAGGCGATTATTAAGTACATAAAATTTAATTTCAAATAAATAAAAAACATAATTGTAGAAAAGAACTAAAATAGAAAAAAAAAAATGATCATTGCGGTAAATTAGAGAGAACTTAATGAAATCAATATATAGTGATTCAAATGAAGTTATTGACAGCAATACCATCATTGACCACCAACCAACGTACGCATATCAATGATTAATGACGGTAATATAATCTGTGATATCTACCGTAGCACTGATACTTGGGTTGTTGATCGCCAATGAAGAAGTAATCTTTATTTGTTCTTTAATTTTTTTTTATTTTTTTTTTAATTCGCCACCTTTTTGTAATTAAAAATTAAAATAACAAGTTACTGATGAAATAATAACAAGAAATGTTAAGTAAGAATAAATGTTTCCAACGATCATTGCTAATTAAAAATTAAAATAACAAGTTACCGATGAAATAATAAGAAGAAATGTTAAGTAAGAATAAATGTTTCCAACGACCAACAATGAAAGCATTGCGTACATTACTATCATCAATAAAATGCTGACGGGTATTTGTTGATAATCACTAGTAAAATTTTAGTTGGTAATTCAGTCCAAATCGTCGATGAATATTATCATTAATGATTAAAATCTCCTCGTTTATGATTATACTTGAAAAAAACACTAATTTTGCATAAGACCCCCAAGTTGTTTGAGTTGCATATGCTTGTGACACCATTCCAAATGATTGAAATATTGAACATTAGTTGATTTAATTGCAGGATAGAAATGGTCCCAAAAAGCACGAGTAACCTTTCTATTTAAATGCTCTGTGACATATGATCTGTAACATACACTCGATATATAATGGTTGTACCGGAGAAATTTTTTAGACAAGGTAGTAGTGGTCACATGATGACAATATCGATTGTGCATGTCTATTAATAACGTCATAATATCGATTGTGCATGTCTGCTTCTAACGTCACAAATCAGTTGGACATAGTAACAGCATAGAGAGTCATTGCTAACTACTTTATCAGAGAGTCGCAACTGGTTTCAGGCACTAATTTAATTCAAAGCTTGTTTGGCAAAGCTTAATGTATAATTTAATTTAATTTGGTCATATACTCTTTTTCCCACACATATTGTAAAACCCACAATTTACAACTCACTTTTTATTACATATTTCAAGATCCACTACTTATAAGCACTTAAAAGTATTACAAAACAGCACTCAATTACTCTAATCGCATGAATAAGCAGTAGAGATGGGATGCAAATCTTTCATCATGCTAGACATTTATCATTGATGTTCAAACCTGTAGTTGAATCCTTTATACACATTCATCCAATGGTTATTGCATGTTGAAGTGTTACAAACAGAATGGAACACAATCCCTTCTAATCTAAGAACCTCTCAGTTCCAGCAAAACTATATACAGCTGCAATTTCAGAATCATAGAACTCATGAAGAATCCTTACCCAAATATGATCCACTTTCTGTTGATTTTGACTCAATCTTCGCTACTTCCTTGGCAGAAGATTGCTCGTCTACAGATGTACCCGACTGGGTAGGTTTCTTAAATTGCACTAAGATCATGGTCATGTTGTCACAACCCAAGCCCACAGCAGTAGATGGCGCGAGACACCTATCGAGTACTTTTTCACAGACAACAGAGAGCTTATTTTCCTGAACAAGTTTTACAATGTCAGATACAAGTCAAGAATAACTTCAGTCTAACCAAAGTAGCGTAAACACGGTATTCAAGGACTTACAGATTTCAGCTGGTCACGTATGAAATCAACGAGTTGTTGGTTTGACAGGCAATCCCTTGAAGTATTAAATTAATTACGAAACTTGATTAGTCAAATATTTGAAGTCAGGAATTCTATTATCACAAACAGAGAACCTAATCGCAGTAAAAAGACCAGATGTGAAATAATAAAAAGAACTTATGGCAATTGGCGAACATTCAGGATCATCTGCTAGCTGGAGATACAGGTAACTCAGATAAGCAACAATGCCAGGTTGCGCTACTGGGATAGTAATAGGGAAATATACTTCAATCCGAAAACATATGTTTTCTTTTTCTTTTCTCAGTAAAATTAGAGTACGTGCTACAAAGGAAAACGAAAACAAACTTACATCATCAAATTATCACCTTCTATATTCTGCTTAATGACGTATGAATCAATGCCAGTGCAACTTTGAGGGACAAATAAAAGAAAAACTAGAAAATAATTTTTTCCCACTTTTCATAAGTACATTGTGAGCGAGAAAATATTACTACACGGATGTTGATTATTTTCTGCCTGCCAAGCGTAACCTACATGTTAAAACAAATGATAAGGGAATTTATAGAAAAGCCAATGTCAGCATTCAATCCATCCAGACTGAGGTTAACAGACACCACCCCCCAAAAAAAGAAAAAAAATTAAATAAATAAATAAACAAACAAATAAAATTCTAAAAATATGACGGTAGATTCAAAGGACTCGGCTTCCAATTAGGTAGTAAGTTTGTATAGATATTTCAAAGACATGGGGCCACGATCCTCTTCATTAGAAGAGAGTTTTTAGGGAGTATCAGACTAATCTGCAGTTTCTTTTCAGACTATGATGTAAAGACAAGAATCAGGTCAAAAGATAGAGAACTGCGTGTTCAAAAGGAAAACGAAGGATGGCTATGTTATAATGACATTTAAGAGAGGTGGAATACTCAAGTCTAAGAGGGACGAATAAGGAATTTCTAAGTTCGCATTATTCTTCAGTTATTATTTTTCTTAATCAGATGAATAGGCATTCCACGAAACAACCACATTAGCTTTCAATGAAATATAGCATAATAAATCATTCTGCAAGTCCTCCAATGCAAACCCGATCCAAAATGTTGCAAGAATTTTGTAAAGAATATGTGTGTCTGTAAAACATCATAAGCTAATTAACAATGGAGAAACAAATTCAATAAAGTTCCATTATCAAACGAACCAACATTTAAAATATCCTGTTCGAATATGTTCGCTTTGCCTAATCCACTTTGCAGAATCTGGTATATGAATCCCAAAAGATAAGTTCAGAATGCATACCAAATGCCATCACAGGCAAGCACAAGGAACTCATCATCACCACAAAGTTCAACCTGGTAGAAAAATTTGAGAAAAATCTACAGTTACCGAAAGCAGAAGACAATAATAGCACTTCACTGTTGTGCTCATAATATAAGAGCAAATCCTGATCCCTGAGCTCAAGCACTGGTCAGACAAATTAAGTCTTAAAACATAGTAATAGTTTTTTTTTTTCTCAAGCATAGTAACTTTTGGTTCACAAAAGCATGGCATGACCAAAGCTTTACTTTATATGGTGATCTTGAATGGTTCATTACATTGTTTTCAGTTTCTTGTGCATTTCATCAAAGTAAACAGGTTTTTGGGTGTTGTATAACTCTCGAGAAGCCCACAAATAGTCACACAATAGTTTGGCTAAAATATCAATTTATGATGTTCAGTGGATCTCAACTGTGCAGGATCCAATAAATTTGCATACACGAACTTCTTACTTCTCTCGTCCTACAACAAAAATACAAATTTCACATGTTCATATCAAATCCACTAATTGCATCTCAAACCATGAGGTGCTAAATACAATCTAATGTGGGGTATGTGTTTAATAAAAATTATCTGGGGATTAATTTCCATATTTGAAATTCCACTAAAACTTTTGAGCATCTTGGAGCTGAAGTCTTCTAAAAGTATTGGTGATTGGTGGAGAAAATGGACAGTGGTTTCTCTATTTTTTCCTCTAATTCTGCTATAGATTACAGAGCTCCTCAGACTTGGTTCACAGCCTCTAGGCAGTTTGTGGAAGATCACCATCAGATTTACAAAGAAGGGATACTCTTTTTATTTGTTAATATTTTAAGTAGACTTGATCTTCAGGACCTCTTCTCCTACTATATTTGTCCATCCTATGTCTATGAATAAATTCTTTATTTTATACATCATTTTCATTTACAAAAGGGGACTGCAAAGCAATAAAACTTGGGTCTTGATAATTTCGGCAAGAACCTCTACCAGACTTTGATCTCGTCAGAAAAGAACAAAATATTTCCAACTAATTAACTTGCAATTATTTAAGTTCTCAAGTATTCTCACACATTTTTCAATTAAAGATGTTTGTTATACAAAATTGTGCCACCACGAATGTAGGATGACATGAAGTCCTCTCGCCTTAGCATTACCCACCCTAGTATAATCTTTTTTACGAGTCATTGAATAATATAAAACAAATATCTACCTGAAAAACTTCCCCAAATCATTACATGTTTCACTGTCAAAGACCTCCATTAAAAATTTTCCATAACTGTTTCTTGGTCACAGCAGCGTTTACGCTGCCAATGGAGCATTATGTCTAAATGAGGCTTGTCCAAGGTGGCTATAGCAATGCTACATGATTTCTAATTGAAACATGGATAATTGTGCTCTATGGAAAACAAATATCCAGTCACTTAAGGAAATGAAAAAGATACGTACAACATTTATATCTGGATTAGCAGTTACAATTTGCTTGTCAGCTGGCAAAAACTTGTTCTGTTTGAATTCCACGTCACCTGCAAGCAGAAATTATTCTCTCCTTTAGTCACAATCCATGTGTGCATAGTAAGCTCATAGTTTATATAAAGTACTAATAATACTGTATAGGGAAAATAGACAACAGTTTAATTTCCTTTCTTCCAGTGTTGTCCAGTCCAGTCCACCATGCCAAACATAAGATAAATATGTTTAATATTTCCAAACACTAGTACCATCATACTATCCCCAGTAGCGTCTAGAGATAATTTTTCCACCAGCTTATGCCTAATCATATCCAGCACAATCTGTTCAATAATTTAGTAATATAGTCTACAATGCATCTTATGTGATAGAGAATGATTCAACTTATGAGCTAGAGAATGATTCAACTTATAAGCTTTAAAAGTCTACCATTATTCCAAAAATAAAAAACCATTGAAGAGATCTTGTACAGCACCTATAGCTCTAGCAAGATTTAGGCTTCCATTAACACGTCCTGCTTGGATAAAACCACCTGCTTTTAAAATTCTCTCTCTCTCAACCTCAAGATCAGGCTTGTGGTCTCTTGAAAGATTGTGTGCCTGCACGAAAGAGCACCATACCAATATATTCACATATCATTCACCTCAAACTAAAAAGAGTACCAAGAAAACATTTCACTGCATTACAAGTGTTGAAATTGAACAATTTTGAAAACCATGGTAGAAGAATCTCTCATAATATTTGAATTTCCTTGTTCATTATTTACTCTCTTAGCAGAGACAGATTATGGAAAGTCTTTATAGAACAAAAAAATGTTAGCAATACATCCAGAAGATTGTGGTAGGTGTTCATTGGGCAGGTTGTGATAGTCACTGATAGGTAATTATGACTTTCCCGTTTTGGTTAATTTTAACCCTATAAGTAGGGTCTTTATCTTCGAATTTCAAAAAAAAAAAAAAAGAGTAGTTTAACTACAATTCTGTTCCTCTTAGTCTTTCTATCTCGGTTACTTTTACTCTATTTCTAACAGAAACAAATTTGAGCTGCATCAAACATCCATTTAAGATTTAACTTTTCTTAAGCAAATAGAACTAATACAATCAAATATACTTTACCGTGTACATTACCTGACCTTTCCTAGAAATTACACAGCGAGAATCACCAGCATTTGCAATAACAAGTTGGTTGTCCCTAATAATTGCTACACAAGCAGTGCTGCCAGACGTTGGTCCAGAAAAATCAGAGTGTGGCCCCTGCAGCAAAAAAATAGACAGTTAAACTCCGGATGACAAACAATGATAGAGTCTGGACCCTAATAGCTCTTGGACAAAATCCAATTACATGACTATGTCCCAAACAGAAGAAGGAACAAAAAGTTGAATGTTCCTCCTCTGAGCAAATAATAAATGAAAAGAAAAACTAGTTAAACAAGTTGACAATAAGAGCATCTCTTTTCAATAAATAAACAAAAAGGAAGAGAGAATACAAGAACTGTTATGAACGTGTAAAATGTAAATTTTGTAAAAGGTCAATAATCTTTACTTTGTGGTTAAAGGTTTATATACCGGCCTGCAAAGTTCGTAATTATAAGGAAATACTTCACAGTAAAGCAAATATATAATATCTGAAATCTTTTTCCCACCACTGCACTCAATCCTAAATCAAAAGGAAACAACATTAACATAACTTCCCCCATAAAACTGTGCACAGTAATTGCTTGAAAGATTTTATATCCTTGATATGATTAAAATCCCCAAATTTAAAATTTCAACTAGACCTTCTGTCAATCATTTAAGAGAAACACAGAATAGTGACATGTTCCTTGTCATTAAAGAAAAAAAGGACAGATTGACTATTCCATTGGTGAAAAAGCGAACACCTCCTCAAATGACCAATCATCGACTTGGTCCTTTCTGTCACCACTTCTCGGAGACCATATCAAACCCTCCAACATGCCAGTAAACTTATCTATTTTATCTCCCAGAACAGCCAACTCCCTCCACCCTCTCTGTCCTCGCATCATTTCATCCATCCTGCAATGATAACAATGGAACATAAATTAAGCAACCGTAGAACAGCCTTTGTCACTTTATTGAGTTTATAACTATTTTTGTTCCAATGTTATAACTAAATAATTTCGGTCAAAGATCCTGGCTAGCGAATGACCAAATAAACTGTATATGTAAGCACAGTCTTTAACTATTTGAAGCCAAAATAACTTATTATGAGCACAGCTCTTGGA